AGGTTTTCAATGATGCAAAAGTACACGACAGTGCTCCGACAATTGGCATACATCAACTTTGCAGATTCAATCAATGAGTATCCGCACATGTCTAATCGAAAGGTACAAGAATATCTGTATAAGTATTGCAAATGGGTTATCAGAATATACATCAAACCGTATTTGCCCACACCCACATAGAAAGACATACAAGTGTTATACGCCGCCCATGAAGCCCGACATGCATTTCCCAGCATGTTAGGTAGTATTGATTGTATGCACTGGGTATGACGTAGTTGCCTTAATACATGGCATGGTCAGTATACGAGCGGTGATCACGGGCACCCCAAAATAAGATCTCAGCAAGTTTGAGTTACATAACACGTATACGCACCATAACCTTCGTGCGGATTTAGTTGAGCATTTGTTGAACTTCGCTCATGAACTTCCAAATGATGAATAATTATATTTTTTAATTCCGCTTTTTTATTGAACAATGTAATTTTAAGTTTAATGTTATTGAATTATATACATACACATATACATACATACATACATATATATAGCATTTTAATAAAATATCTCCTTTCAATATATATATATATATATATATATATATATATATGTATGTATGTATGTATGTGTGTGTGTGTATATATATATGTATATATGTATGTATGTATGTATGTATGTGTGTGTGTGTATATATATTATATATAGTATATATGTGTGTGTGTGTGTGTGTGTGTGTATATATATATATATATATGAAGGATCGAGACTGAAGACGTTGTTTCCTTGGTTGGGTAGTCTTTTAGGTCTTAGAGTGTGTGTTAAAGAGTATGACATCTCTAAGGTTCATTCATTGATAATCTTACCTTCAAAACACCTTTTATATCAGCCTTTATGTCGGGAAGTTGCTCTTCTATTCGAATAACCTTTAGTTTATTCGAATAAGTCGTGATTTTTCCAGTGCCTGAAAATGCATTGTTTTATTCGAATAAATGCAGTATCTTCAAGCCACAAAAGATCATTGTTTTATTTGAATAAATAAGGATTTAGTCGAATAGTACAACAGTTTCAACTTCCAAACGGCTAGTTTTTTTGAATGTTTTTCATCCCTATCCATTCCCTAACTTCAATAAACTCCCTTGTCTCGTTATTATCATTGGAAGAACACCAAGAACACTTTGAAGAACACATCCTATGAATATCCAAATAGATTCTACTCAATCCCCTTCTAATATCCAAGCAAAGCAATTGTTTTGATTGCTAAATCCTTTCTTGCTTGAGTTTATCATCATTGCTTGAGTCTTTGAGATATTTTGCCATATTTTATAGGACTTCATTGTATCTACAACAATCTACTCTGTGTTGGGAGGATTATTCCATTGTGTTTTGTTTTCTTACTTTTTGTAAGGGATTTGTATTCTTGGTGTTGGGATTACACCAAGTGGTAGAAATCCTAACAGTTTGTGAAATCAAATGTTAGGTGGAAGAAATCCCGAGTCTTGTGAAATCAATGCTTCGGTGGTAGGATAAGAGGCTTGTGAAATCAAGTTCTCGAGTTGTATCCGGATTGTCAAACTCTATTAAGCTGGACGAGTTAGTGAAGGCTCGGGCACATTTGCTTCGGGGACTGGATGTATGCATTAAGGCCAAACCAGTATATGTAGTGTGTTCATTGCTTTTATCCTTCACTTAATTCTGTTTGTGGTGTGCTAGTTTTAATCGAAAAATCGACCATTNCCCCCCCCCCCCCTCTAGAGGTGCGCAAGACGTCTAACAAGATTTTTAAACTTCTTGGAGGATTACTTTACAGTTCTTTACCTCGTCGCTTTTTTGAACTGTAACGGCAATAAATGTACTTCAGACTTATTTACTCTCCCACTTTCATTTTTATACAAACAACATCAACATTAGATGATTTTTTAGATTATAGCATTATTTAAATTAGAAAAAAGACCATGAACCAGAACAGCCAGTTCACAAACCGGCAATGGCACCCCCATAATTCGGGCGCGGAGGCAGGGGAAAGGCCTGGCGGTACTGGAATCGGCAGTTCCAAAACTGCAATCGGACCATGTCCAAGGCTACTCATGTACATGTGTATTTGGACTAAAGTACCCTACCCTATTAAAAATTTCCAAAAACCCACCTACTTCCACTTTTTTACTAAGAGTATTTTGGATAAAACTATCTCATAGTCAACATCTCTTAAAAATGAAAAAAAATCAAAATGAGAAGATTAAATCCGGACGAAGGGGGTACAACGGATGACAAATAATGCAACTACTTCTGATCTATAATTAAATAAAATATATATGACATATTAATTGGATATAATAATACGGAGATCTTACAAAATTATTTCTAAATCAATATATTATACCTCTTCCGTCCCAAAAAGTCCTTCTTTCTTTATTTTTGTGTCCCACAAAGTCCTTTTTTCTATGAAAAATCATTTTTCCCTCCGTTTGTTTTTTATTTTTATATTATTTTTCTTCTTTTTTTTCTTTTCCTCTCCACTCTATTAACCAAACAAAAAAATCATTTATTTTTTGTACTCCTTCCGTCCTAAAACATTTTTCCCGTTTCTGTTTACGAGGTTTGACCGACTTTATTTTCAATTCAAATTTACTTGATTGTAGATGTAAAATTTAAAAATAAAATTTATATATTTAAAAACTAATCAAAAGTTCTACAAAACAAGATGTAACAAGAATATATTATTTTATCAAATAACTAACAAAAATAGGTAAAGAAATTGATTAAAGTTTGACCGTATGAATAGTAAGTGAGAAGAACGTTTTAGGACGGAGGGAATATCGTTTTCTTTTCTTCTCTATTTTAAATGCTTTGAAGTAAGAAAGATGATTTTATATTCTTCTCTATTTCAAATTCTTTGAAGTAAGAAAGATGATTTTATATTGTATGCGTACGTATTGAGGGGGCTGGCATGGAGATGAATAGATATGATGATGAGGAGATCCATGCTGAGTATAGTTTTTTTTGGGGGGGTACATAGTATAGTACTATATTTTATATATACATGAGGAATATGTATAATTGAATCCCCCTCTTTTTTTTATGAGATGTTGGGGCTAAAGAAGCAAGTAGGGAAGGGTGTGCCCTTATAAATATTTTCAATTCAAAGAAAGAACATAATGCACAGAATTGAATTGAAGTAATGTTATAGATAGTAGAGTAGGATATTTGATAGTATTATTATTATTATTATTATTATTATTATTATTATTATTATTATTATTATTATTATTATTATTATTATTATTATTATTATTATTATTATTTAGGTTTTATTAGGTGAGCGAAATTATAAGCTCCTTCGAGGTTTCTTTACGGTTCTTTTCCTCGTCGCTTTTATTGAACCGTCAGGTTAGGTTTATGGTTAGCTAGGGTTTCCTTATCTCCTATAAATAGAGATGTAACCTCCTTTAGAATAATCAAGCAATAAACAACTCAAACTCTAATCCCTTCTCCTCTCTCGGTTCGCCGATTCTCTTCGTCTCAATCCTTCTTCTTCTTCCTCGTCCCATACTCTCAAGAGCTTGAAGACGCTCTAAGTCTTCCCTATCCGATACGGAGTCCGTATCATTGGTGCTCTCGTTGATGGGTGATTTCCCTGCATGTGTAAATTGATTGAAATGTATTCTATTATATGTAATTTAAAAATGCACTTTCCCAAATAATGCAAACCGGAGTAGCTTACTCCGTTTGCCATTTATTCTTTAGCAAAACGGAGTAGCCAACTCTCAAATGATTATTTAGGGAAACGGAGTAGCCAACTCCGTCCACCTTTTTTGATCTGCGGAAGAAAGGGAAACATGCACGAAGAGTGGAGATGGGGGGATCTCCACCTATTATTTTTTAAAAAAATCAAAAGTTTTTGTTTGTTTCTCAACTTTGTTCCTATATCTTTTTTAAATCAAATTTTTTTCTTTATTTATTATAATTTTAAAACAATTTTTTTTATAAAAAGCAGAAAATTATTTACATATAATGAAACAATCTACTAATAATAAAATGCATAAATAAAATAATTTCTTATTGACTTTAAATAATGCAGCAAACAACAAAATTAAAATAAGAAGTAAATCACAAAAAATTTATTCATAAAGTACATACAATTTATTCATAAAAATAAGATTACCAAACACATGCCATAACTAATTTATCTTCTATCATGTTGATATTAATTCAAGGGCTAAAAGTGTAATTATACAATGATAGTCTACAAATGTGGTCTTTCGTCGGAATCTAAGCCCACAATCATAGTCATTATTTTTGTGTTATCTGCTTAACCAATATCAGAACACGTCTCTAAACATAATGTTGATGTCAAATTATACTGCATATATATTAAAATAATGAAATACAATTCTGAAAGTTCTCAATACTATAAATCCAATAAAGCCATTTTGTGTTAAAATACATTATGGTTCTTATTTAATTGAAGCTCAAAATTTGTCCAGTTTGATTCGAAAAAGTCAAACTGAACAAATACACTGGGACAGAGTAAGTAATTTTGATATATCAAATTTTTAATATAATTAAATTATTTATATTATGTTTAATTTGTGACAAAAAATGTCATTATTTTAAAAAGAATCAAAACATGAAATCTTTAGGATTGCGGAGTAAAAAAGGGAAAATGGTAAAAAATAAAGAAAATAAAAAAAGAGCAAGACTCCTTGTGAAAGAATGAACAATTGCCAGATTGCCTTTCCTACGGTTAAAAGGATTTACACGGATGAGGTCTTTTTCCTTCTTTCTGGATTAACAAATCGAAAAAATGGAAAACGGAAAAAAACAGAGCCAAACGGAGTAGGCAACTCTGCCAATAAATAATTCAGTCGAAACAGAATAGCCAACTCCGTCTAAATAAATAATTCCAAACTAAACGGAGTAGCCAACTCCGTGTTGCACTGCCGGGAATGCTTTATAATTTTCTTACATACACAAGAAGTTTACTCTTCGTTGAGAGGTTTACCACAAAAAAAACCACAAAAAAAAAATCACCACCGCTGCAGAGCAATCCCAGATCGAGAAAAAAAAGCTACAAATTTGCACGAGATTTGCAGCCGCAGATCCAAGCCTTCTTGCCGATCACATAGTCCAGGAATTGCCTTTGTCGCCGCCGGATTATTGTTCCGCTGAAATATTCCTAAGATCCGCAGAGCACTTCATAGCCGCCGTTGTTTTGAACACCAAAAAAACCAACAAAAAAAAAGATTTTTTTTTTAGATCTGATCAAGTGGCGTGGCAATTCAAGAGTCAGCAGCAAGGATATTTGCTCGGTGAAGATTTACTTCAGATTCAAAAAAAAAAAGGCAGTAGGCAATCATAGAAATGGAAGAGTATTCTGACAAAATCTCAAAAAAAAAAAGGACGAAGAAGCGCATTGGGTAAAGGGATTTCGCCGGCCTGCTGCAATTTGATTTCTCCATCGTGCAAAACCATATCAGCACGTTGGGTAAAGTGAGTTGCTTATTAATTTGTTTTCCCATTGCTTTTGCCGTGGAGGATGCTTTTTTAAGCAAATTCATCCAATTGTGCTTAGTGGTTTCATTCATAGTCTTGGGCTTTCCGTATTTGTTCTATCAATTTGCTGCTCGAGTTGTACCGCGCGCTCTATTCAGATTCTGATCTTTGGATAATTAATTATGATTAGAGATGCTGCTGCAACCCCCTCTCTTGATACTTGATAATCTCTTCAATTTAGTAGAGATTGTTTTACGTGGAAAAATTGATTTTGATGAAGGAGTGTGCTTAGTATATGCTCAACATGATAAAATTATTAAGACGCTCCAATTATTTGCTAATACTGAGGGTCAATTAAATTATGCCTCCGACCTATCTGTGTTCGATGTGGACATCTCATGTTCGATACAGGATTTGTTTCGTGGTCCTCCGATTGTGCCAAGTCAAATTCTTTTCGAGTTACAAAATTTTAGATTGCACGTGTTGGGCGCGCTGAAGAATCTCATCAGCGCTCCGCTTTCTCCACCAAGTCAAGTCGCTACAATACTGATAAACTGTGGGGGCACATTGGTCCAAATGGAGGAAGATGTCATCCCGCCCCTAGTGTTGGCTCTAGAAGACACAGACGGATCAAATGAAGCCAACATCAAATCTCATGTCAGGGATCCCAATGATGGCGAGTCTAAAGTCATGAAAACACTTAACCTTGGTTCCAATTCCATAAACAGGTATGATGGTGCTAATGGTGGGGATGCTAAGTCAGCTTGTGAGCTTGATATTACATCTTGTGATTCTTCTGCACCACTCCCTTCATTGGGTGTTGTAGACATTTCAACAAATCAAGCTTTGGGCTCCAACCATCAACCCTTTGTTTTGGTTTTGTCTCACCCAATCATGATGCGTCACCATTCTGATATCCTCCACAAGGAGCATCTGATTTCTGTGCGGGCAACAAGACTCGTGCATGGCTCTATCTCATATTCCTCCCATCACATTCTAAGAAGCACGTTGGTTGAAAGTTGGCCAAGAGGTGGATTTCTTCTTTGGTTCTGCACCCTCTCTCCAGTCCAGAAGCATGAGTGGGAGCCTCCACCTTGAGGACAAGGGGGTGAGAGTGTTATGGATAGTAGAGTAGGATATTTGATATTATTATTATTATTATTATTATTATTATTATTATTATTATTGTAATTTAGGTTTTATTAGGTGAGCGAAATTATAAGCTCCTTCGAGGTTTCTTTACGGTTCTTTTCCTCGTCGCTTTTATTGAATCGTCAGGTTAGGTTTATGGTTAGCTAGGGTTTCCTTCTCCTATAAATAGAGATGTAACCTTCTTTAGAATAATCAAGCAATAAACAACTCAAACCCTAATCCCTTCTCCTCTCTCGGTTCGCCGATTCTCTTCGTCTCAATCCTTCTTCTTCTTCCTCGTCCCATATTCTCAAGAGCTTGAAGACGCTCTAAGTCTTCCCTATCCAATACGGAGTCCGTATCAAGTAGTGGCATGGGTTTTGATGTCATTAAATTACTTACTTACAAGTAGTACGTGTGAGAGAATTACAAGGCCAATTTCTGTCTTCAATTTTTCGAGCAAATTAGGTGCCGTTCTTTGGGGTTGGAAAAATTAACTTCTAACAGCTTCCAACTCTTTACGGTTTCTTCTAACTCCTTCAAGTTCCTTCTAACGTCTTTCACTTTCTTCAAACTTCTTCTGGTTTTTTCTAACGACTTAAAAAGCATTAATATATGATAAATATATAATAACATTATATATCCAAATGCGGACAATAATAATAAATTCTTTTTTTAGTCAAAATTTAGAATTTTCTTACATATTTATTTGAATGATCGTTTCATTTATTGACTTTTTATCACTTCAATTATTTCAACATTTTCCAACTCGTTCCATCTTTTTCCAACTTCTTCAAGTTTCTTCTTCTACCTCCTTCCAGTTTCTGCTGTATAATTCCACTGTACCGGTCCCATTTCATTCACATCCATCAACATAAATATGAAAATGTATATTATTATACATTTACCCGTCACGGCCAATATATGGGCGTTATTCTATATATTTATCCCATTATTATCCCCATACCTTATATTTAAAAAAATATATTTATGTGGTTCAAAATTGTACGGAGTATATACTTTACGTACCCTCTAAAGGTCTCCTTAGTTCGATCTTACTCACTATTTTAGACGTTAAACTGTACTCGGGTCTTATGTTTTACTCCCTCTGTCCACCATAGATCTTCCCAGTTACTATTCACAGCGTCAAACTTTACTCACTTTGTTTACTCAATTTTACTAGTCATTTCATAAAATAATATAGTCTTGTCACCTCTAGTTTTGTAGAACTTTTCATATAGTTTATTACTATATAAATTTTATTTTAAAATTTTACTCCTATAATTAATTAAATTGAATTGAAAATAGAGTCGGTCAAGCCTCGTAACGCCCAATGGGAAGATCATACATGGACGGAGGGAGTATCATTCAATCATGCTAGGAATACACCAAAAAGTGTATCCCAATTATACCACAAAGAAATGCACCTACTTTTTAATAGTTATACTGGCACAAAATGTTAGCTTACTTAAAAAAATTGCACTGACATTTTTTGTCAATGTAAACCATCACACTAGCATCACACTAGCACAAAATGTCGGTGCATGCCTTTGAGGTACAAAATGGGTAAAAATTTTGGTGTACAAAAAGCTTAATCCTTTATCATTACCCATCCTGCAAAAGTGCCTATGCAAAATAAGGGAGAAAGACCAAAGTAGGACTAAAACATTGAAAATATACTAAAATAGGATTTCCATGTTTTTATTCCCAAAATAGAACTTACATTACTAAACATGGTCATATACATTACCAAGAAAGTATAGTAATTTGCACATGTACACTGCCACATTACCACAATGCAAAGTCACATCACCACAATGCAAAGTCCTATTTCGGGAAAAAAAATGAAAGTCCTATTTTGGTACTTTTCTCTATGTTTTAGTCCTATTTAGGATGATTTCTAGCTAAATAACGGGTTGGATTTTGATTTAAAAAAGATATTTTCGATGAGCGTTAGCATTTTAGGATTTAGATTAAATTTTAATAGTGTAGATTAGTTTTGAAAATAATAAAGCTAAACGGTGTCCTTAGTTAACTTTTTGGGAAAATTCCTAAAATAAGACTAAAACATGACACTTTTTTCGTAAGCAGGACTAGTTCTATTTTATTCATGTTTTAAGATATGAAAGGACAAAATTAACCCCTAAATCCATCTAGTTGTTATCTCCTGCACGCCCATTGACCCATGCATGAAATTAATGAGAATTTAACATTATCATTCGTTACGCTCTGCCTAATATGACTCTTGAAAAATCAGAAGTCGTCAGAGCCGTAATTGTGCAGACATGGGTTAAAATACTCGTAAGATTAGAGGTGGAGTAAAAAATGATTAGAAGTTTTAATTTCATTAAATTTCTTTCTCCTTCTTTAACATTTCTTTTTGAAATATTTGCACTAAATAGCACTAAAACATAAGTCATTTCCCTAAATAACATTTAAATTGTTTTATTTCCTAAATAGCACTTAATAATGTCCATAATGTCCAGTGATTCGATGGCAAATATTTACTTGGATAATGACTAATGCATATATAATGACTAAAAGTACTACATTTGGAAGAAAAACACATGTGGTACTATTTAGAGAAAGTCATTATGTTTTAGTGCTATTTAAGTAATTTTCTCTTTCTCTTTTATCCATACTTTTCCTTTTTCCTAATCAAACAAACTTCAAATATTTTGGTCGTCTTGGTTTTAGTCCCTAATTAGTTTATTTTCAACAGTTAAGATTCTGTAATTTTTGTCATATATTTTCCAATAATTCAATCAACAAGCTAAAGTGTACGCCACTTCTCATACATATTTTCAAAACTTTGCGTTACCTTTTTAGTGCGCACATGACACATTGTTAAACGTTTTCCTTTTTGTAATCCCAATTTAGATTTTCTTATACACTCCCTATATAACAAAATAATATTCCCTTATATGAACGAAAAATAATAATATTTCTTTCGTTTCAAAATGTTTTACACGTTATCCAAAATGAAATAAAATTTAAAATTTTTTGAATTCATTTTATTTAAATATTAGAATAGAAATTAAAAATAAAACTTATATTTAAAAACTATATAAAACACTCTACGAAAAAAGAGATGACAAGATTATTTTATTTTACCAAATAATCAATCAAAACATACAAATAAATAAAAGTTTTCGTGACTTTTGAATAGCGAAGAGTGTAATTCTTTTTAGAACGGAGTGTATCTATATTACTACAATTGTAGTTGAGTATTTTTCCAGTTTTAACTTTTTAAAAACAAAATTTACAAAATTTGACCAATAATTAAAATAAAATTGATATTAAGTATTGATACAAAAATAATTCTATTAGATTTACTTTATATAATCACATTGTTCCTTTTCAATCTTCTCATTTGACTTTTTATGGTCTTCAATACAGTACTTTGACCATAAAAATCTTTATTTATAGATAAATATGTATTATAAAAATGTAATATTTTAAAACTATGTTTCAATATGAACTTATTGATATTAAACTTATATCACAATTCAATTTATTTTTGCTGTAATTTGTACTCAAAAGTTTTAAAAAGTTAACCTTAAAAGTCAAACTGGAAAGATTCAAAAGGGACTACTGGGAGTAGTTTTTAAAAATATTTTTTTATTAAATATATCATATATGTTTTATTTAATTATAGGTCAAAAGTTGAAAGTGGTTGACTGTAAAAATAAAAAATAAGCAAATAATCAGGGACAAAGCTAGTAGTATATGATCCCTCCGCACAAGTGCATTTGAAGGGGATTGAAGGGGGTTGGGGTTGTGTTCGGGTCGAGGCGGGGTGGGGGCTTATCGAGAGGTGGGTGTTGGGGGTATGAACCATCAATTTTACGAATGCAGCACCGTAGCGCCCTCAGGTCATCCTATTACATGGGGTTCTACTATTGTTCTAGTGTCATGGGAACCCCTTCGTTACTATTAGAGTCTATTATAATTACTATTAACAATAATTATTTTTATTCTTATTAATTATGATTAGATAATAATAATCATTTTAATAAATATTTTTAATAATTACTATTGCAGCTATTATTAAGTACGATGATGATAAATTATTACTATTATTAATTATTTTTATATTATGAATTAATAATGGGAAAAATATTAATTACTATTATTATTATTATCTGTTAATAATAATGACTATTACTATTTTAATTATTATTATTATTAATTACTATTACTCTTATTATTAAGTACAATGATAATTAACTTTTATTATTATTATTTAATAATGATAATAATTACTATTGTTACTAATTTAATTTTTATTATTATTATCATTTTAAAATTATTTTTTTAAATAATTTTCTGATATGAATGAATCTGTTCTGATCTAATATGAATGAATCTGATACGATCTGTTTTCTGATTGAGATAAGCAATAAGTAGCAGAAATAAGTTAGAAGAAAATGGAACCTTAATCTTATGGAATGCATATCAGGTAGAATTTTTAATTAGTAAATGGAAAGAAAGAGTTGTGACATAGCACAAACGAGTGTATCATTTCGCATTTTCACACAAACTTTTACTCTCCCATTCTTCAAAGGTTTCACTTGCATAGTATGTAGCATAACACTTTAATCATTAATATTGTTATGAGTAATTTTATTTATATATAAATATAATATTTCAAACTATGTTTTAAAATAAATCTAGTGATATTAAATTTAAATCATAATTCAATATTTTTTTCATAATTTATTGTTATTTGTAAAAGATTGAATGTGAAAGTCGAAATTGAAAGAGGTGGCGCCGGGTTAAGGCCATATGTTATCATGGGGCTAGACCATCACCACATAGGCGCTATGACTTGTAGGTACGTAATAGGCACCTTCTCATCAAGCCTCATCACTTATAGGTACATAATGGCGGGGACTTGACCAATTTTTTTGTTTTATTTTATGGTAGATTATATTTTTGTAAGCATATAAATTAAAATATTATTTTTAACAAACTTCGAACAAAAAAAATGTGAGAAAAAACAAGATA